TCTTTTGCTGAATGTTTTTTATTTGTCAATCCAGTTAAAAATACTACTGGACAGAAGTCATTTGAACAAACCAATGAATTTTCAACTGAATTAGCATGGAGAAAAATGTCAATTTGTATTTCAAATCATACATTAACTGATTTATGGTTGACTGTAGGTTTTTTAACAGCTGATTAATCTCTAAAAACAGTTCTCCACCATCTCATCAGGATGTGTCGAAGAGCTTTTCCCCACCACCTTGCCAACAAACACTTTGAAAGAGCAAATGGTTGCAACCCGATCTATGTCAGCCTGGCAAACTCTTGGGTCTGCTTATTCAAAGACAGTTAAAGGCCTGAAATGGACTTTCTGCTAATATAACAGGGCCCTCATTTATACTGACACCGTAATATCCTGAAAGCATTGACGGTAAGACAAGCGCAAATAACTTTACATTCATTATCGCTTGTCTTGTTGAAAAAGCATTTAAAGAATGAGACTGTGAAAATAAAATAATGCATTTTTTTCTGTTTCTTATGCATTATTCAGCAGGGAAACAGAAGGAAGAATGAGAGAGAGGGAGCACTAGAGCACCTTCGCCCATCGCTGCAAGCAACGCACGGCTTGAATCCATGACATCATCTCTGCAGCACTAACATTTGGGCCAACAGTTCAACAATTTGCCTACCCGTTCCCTTCTGGCAACCAACCATATGAGAAAAAATACGGGTGAACCACACATTTAATATCACTGTGGCTGAAACCAAAGGAAAACCATTATCCTGTTAAAGGCTTAAAGTACAGTTAAAAGCCTGTTTTATTATTGCAGTATGGATAATTACTATATATGGGACCATTACAGGGATGTGTTATGCTATGCTACCATGTAATGAACATACTTGAAATATCCATTTGCACATAATACGAAAAACATAAATGTTCATTCTCTTTTGATATTCACATGAAGCAGTAATAAATCATCTTAAACCAAAAACTGCTGACAAGATTAATACTGGGTTCAGTTCATCTATAATTTTCTTGTTGATGTTTAAAATTGTGTCTTAAGGGAACAATAAAGATTATATGACTCATCTGTGTTGATTTGGTTTCACCTTGAGCTTAATGCAAGAGGAGGACTTCAGAAAAAACTAAACTAAACCGGCAGGCTGTTCAGACAAGTTCCAGTAATACTCCATGGAATCATTATAAACATCTACACCGCCCCCCATTTTCCTTCCCCTGGGTTTTGAACTTTCTTATCACAGAAAACAAAACTAAAATACTCTGCAAGGCTGCTTAAATATCATGTTTGAACAGGAATACAAAAAAAAATGAAAAGTGAAAGTGAAGTGATGTGTGGCCAAGTATGGTGACCCATACTCGGAATTTGTGCTCTGCATTTAACCCATCCAAGTGCACACACACAGCAGTGAGTAGTGAACAAACACACGCACACACACCCGGAGCAGTGGGCAGGCAATGCTGTGGCGCCCGGGGAGCAGTTGGGGGTACGGTGCCTTGCTCAAGGGTCTCACCTCAGTTGTGGTATTGAAGGTGGAGAGAACGCTGGTTTTTCACTCCCCCCACCAACAATTCCTGCCGGACCTGAGACTCGAACCTGCGACCTTCGGGTTACAAGTCCGACTCTCTATCCATTAGGCCACGACTGCCCCCGTGATAATATAGGGTCATTTTCTGGAAAAACTAAAAGGGAATTAAATACAAATTTCTTTTGCAGTAACTGTCATACATAAGTATTTAGTACAAAAATAAGTAACTTGTTACTTACTAAGTCTGTCCAAGATTATGATTCGGTCTTAACTAAACAGCTAATTTTTAAAGTACTACACGGACAAAGAGAAACTAAATGAGAGAGAATAAAAGTAATTACCAAATGAGATTAAAAACTGACTTCACATGACTTAGAGACTCGTGAAGTAAGTCCATGCTTATTCTGCAAAAGGTGAGGCAATGTCAAGACAACTCATTTAGATTCCAGCTATTACTTTATGATAATGATTCTGCATTGCATAGGAGAGAACGCTGGTTTTTCACTCCCCCCACCAACAATTCCTGCCGGACCTGAGACTCGAACCTGCGACCTTCGGGTTACAAGTCCGACTCTCTATCCATTAGGCCACGACTGCCCCCGTGATAATATAGGGTCATTTTCTGGAAAAACTAAAAGGGAATTAAATACAAATTTCTTTTGCAGTAACTGTCATACATAAGTATTTAGTACAAAAATAAGTAACTTGTTACTTACTAAGTCTGTCCAAGATTATGATTCGGTCTTAACTAAACAGCTAATTTTTAAAGTACTACACGGACAAAGAGAAACTAAATGAGAGAGAATAAAAGTAATTACCAAATGAGATTAAAAACTGACTTCACATGACTTAGAGACTCGTGAAGTAAGTCCATGCTTATTCTGCAAAAGGTGAGGCAATGTCAAGACAACTCATTTAGATTCCAGCTATTACTTTATGATAATGATTCTGCATTGCATACTTTACATACTAGAACAAAACTGCATTCGTTTGCCAGAAGTCTACTTAACATAGCTAAATATATGAGGGAACAGAAGATCCAAGGTCCATGAAATGAATTCAATTTAATAGAAAACTTGTTTTGAATGTATAACATTCTTCTAAGAATGAATTATTGCTTCATCAGGGCTGCCGGGACAAATTGTGAAATACTTCCCATTAAGCTGTGCCTCCAAAAGCAATAAATGAAAACAAATGTGTCAAATTCTAAATAAAAATAAAAAATAGATAGGACTGTTTGGTTAAAAAAAAAAAAAAAATTCTCAGTAAAAATACTCGTTGCTAAGTCTGCCTTGGGGTCTGGCGCCGAACTGAAAATTTATGATAATGACTGTCACAATTCTTCAAACTTCATGAGCAATTGTGTGTCAACAACAGACGACAACAAAAAGACCCTTTAAAACAGTGTATATCCTTGACCTGGCAGAGCTGAGGACTTTTCGAGGTTACTTGATCACAATAGACAAAAAGAGTGGATTGATGTCTGTTACATCTTACCTAACACTGCTTCCCTGTATGTGCCAAAAACAACACATAAACCAAAAGGTCTGAAAGACCTTTGGAAGAGGAAGGAAGAGGGGGGTGCAGATGGGAGATCTTAACTGGATCATCTGAGGGGGTAATTCACCTCATAGCAACTGCAATGGACTCCATCCAGGACACTAATAACACTTCATAAAGGATTTCCTGTAAACTCAACAGGGTGAAAAGGGGAGAAGTCTAATCTTAGTGGCCGCCCACTGCTCAAACTGCATATGCTTTACAGAATTATATGATGGTATTTTGACATTTTGAAAAATTTGCCTTTGTACATCACTAGAAAATAAAACTGATTAATATTTTAAAAAATACTGCAAGTCACCACTCAGATATATTTACGAGTAAGTATGAACCAAATAACTAAAATGCACTTCGATTCATTTTTCAAATGTTTTAGTTTCACAATAATAGTATTGAACAAATCAAGGCATACCATACCATCATACCTCTATTTTAGATTGTTTCAACACAAGTGAGTCACAACGAATCATACCTTGAATCATAAAATCACCTGCTGCAGTAGATGAGTGTATTTGAGCCCATGGGAGGTCAGCCAGCTCTTGCAAAAACCACAATACCTGTATTTACTCTGCCAACCACAATCTTGTGTCTGTGGACATAGCACAATGACTGTTTTTCAGACAAAATTCTGTGCTTTGACCCCTTCGAGATTTCAAAGTCACAATAGATCTGTGGTAAAAGCAAAACTAGGAACTGCTGCATGCCTGACTTAACAAACATCTCGAAGCACAACACTTGAGGGGGTAAAAGAATTAGCTGGGAAATTTCCCAGCAAGACTGTGCAACCAGTTATGCTTGTGTAACAAAGCTGCTTCCTGACGGTAAACAAACAACGAAACATTGTGTCATACATTTAATAGGAACAAAGATGAGCAGAGTCTGTTTCTAATTCCCAAGAGACTGACATTAAGCATAAACAAACAACATTATTTATTTTGACAAGGGTTTTATCTCAGCAACTATAGAGTTTCAAGTCAAAAATATTTGATGGGATATTTTCGCATTTTACTGATTTGTCTGGTGTTTCAAAATTGTTTTACCATCTAAATGTCATCGAAAATCCTACAATAAGTTGTTTGGTGGCAGGTTACGTTGTGACAACTTACCCCACATGGCATGGCAATATGTGTTAAATGAGCAGTTTTTTTTTTACTGGAGCAAAAAGCAAGACAGCTAGCCTCTGTCTCCCTATATTAAAGAATATTTAATTGTATAAAATAGCTTTCAATAATTATTAGTTACCAATTGAATGAATTTTTTTCTTATTCTAGAAGGAACCTTTAGTATTAGCATCACTACAGAGACAAATAATAGAAAAAAATGGTAATGTATACTCAACAAATAAAAATCAATTATATCTGATTCTAAATATTGTTTAAGAACACGTAATGTCTCGTTGTTCAATATAACAGAGAGAGAGAGAGAGAGAATGAAAAATTACTTGCAAGAAAATCGAGTCCGAATCGAGTTTTTTTTTTTTCTTTTTTTTTCTTTTTTTTTTTACATTGAACATCCTAAGAAAAAATAGATTTGCTTTGGTATCAAATATCTTGATTGACAACAGGTACGAGAGAAATGTGAGACTGTTTAATCGGTGGGTAATGATAAAACCTTGGCTTACCATCCCACATTCACTGAAGTCAGTGCTATAAAAATGTATATATATGTATTATTTATAATTATTCACCCTCACCGGAGAAGCAATATTTTGCTGAAGGGAAGTGCGAGAACCTTTCATCTGACAAACAGGTCAATTACACTTCTAAGGTGACTGCGTGCAAACCAAAGGTGAATGATACACAACTATTGGGAATACTGAATGTAATATTTAAGAGGTTATGCAAACACGTGAGGATGTGTTTGCCCTTATTATCAATGCAATCACACCTAATTAATGTAAACCTCGCTTACCCTTCCATAAACCTTTGGCACGGGTGATCCAGCAGCATTCCGCCGAACGCGATGCTGGTGCGCGGATGATGAAGCCTCCCTGACTTCTCTCTCTAGACGCACGACGCGACTTTCTGCATGCTCCAGGTGTGCACGCACTAGGGAGAAACCCCTGTCCTGTGGTAGCATGAATCTCTGGTCATGGTGAAGTCGAAGCGTGGAGGAGATCGCTCCAGGAACGAGTAATAATAACAGATATATGGCACAGCGACTGAGCGCCAGCATCTTGCGTGTCTGCCCTGACGCCATGTTTGTGTATGTTGAATGCGATGTGTGACAGGGCGCCTCTAGCGGTCAACCGCTTTCAGACTCATTACCATGGATACAGATGGCACATGATGGCACATGATGTTTTGTTTTGTTTTACATAAACTGTAGATTGGCAAGACCAAAATAAAGGATTGTTTCAGGGAAGATTTCACAGAAAGAACGCCTTGCATCAGCATCCCGTTAAATGTCGTTGACTGGGTAGACCTAAATGTAGCCTATGAATTAAGAAGAAGAAGAAGAATGATAATAATAGTAATTACAATAGTAGTAATAATAATAATAATAATAATAATAATAACTCTTAATTGCTTTTTGAAGGGAAAATAAATTGCGAACTTCACCAAACTTGATTCCAATTTAATTTTTTTTAAAAACACAAGAAATTGTTAGTGTAAAAAGGATCTACATGTATAAATAGCACAGGAGGTTTTTGTTGTGGTAAAATAGCTTATGTTTGGATCAGAATTGAAAAACAATTTAAAGCTACATAACTTGCTAAAAGGCCAAAGGTAAAAGGCCATAATTGGTTCTTCAAATATGGGAAACATTTAAACTTTTATTAAACATATGTATACTATTATTAAAAACAAACTAATTCATTTAATATGAACTCAAAACCTCGTTATTGTGTTTGTTTAGATATCCATGGAAATGTCACAAAAAGTCTAGTTCTAATACCAAAAATGTTGTGCCATTTATGAAGTATTCTTTATGGAAAATGGATTTCAAAAATACCTGGACAAAATTCTTTATGGAAAATTGATTTTTTTTTTTTTTTTAATACCTGAAGACAAGGGTTCAGAAAAAAAAAAACATTTGGCCATTGCTTAAGCTTTAAATCAAAGATACGACCACAACAGCCTTATAATTACATATGTTGCAAGATCTTTTCATCACCTCGTGAGCTCATCGCCTGGTTTTGAATTCGGTTGTCCAAAACCCCCATCTGCTGGTCAGAATTTGTAAAGGTATTATATATTTTATATAGGCCTAATTTTTCCACTAATAATTGCTGCGGAATAATCAGTAATAATTGGTGTCCGCTTACTATGAGTTTTAGGCTACCCTCAGTAGTAGACTACAGTTGCGCGTGTTTTCTGTGAGCTCGCGATTATTGACAGTTCAAAAAAGCGGCGGTTGGTAAGTGAGGTGACCTGAACCGCGGTGAACGAAAGACCAAGATTATCGAAGGTTACCGATTTTCTGGTATTTACTTTAGTTAGCCTAATCAAACAACTGGTATTCCATTATTAACTAACACCCTTTTGGCAGAGATATTGATTTTGTGTAAATAAATTTAAACATTGTTTAAATCAGTTTTATCACTTGATTTAATTGAAAACTGAAAATGGCGTTTGGTCTCGTACTGTATCGCGTACCTTGTCAGTGTCGTGCGCTTTGCTTGGCCATTTGTTGGGATAAACAGGAAAGTGTGTTCAAGCGCCAGCAAAACAGTGTAAAGAAATAGTATTTGTGAGAAGCAGTCAATCAGCAGAAGTTAAAAGCAGCTTGTAAGTGTATTTATTTCTTGTCTCAGTGTTTAGCGCAGTTATCGTTGCTAGGAAACGCTTGTTTTGTTTACCGTGGAGACGTGCTGAAATGGCGTTTGGTCTCGTACTGTATCGCGTACCTTGTCAGTGTCGTGCGCTTTGCTTGGCCATTTGGTGTGATAAACAGGAAAGTGTGTCCAGCTGAATTCAATTTCAGTTTTGTTAGACGAATATAAAAAGCTTAGTATACTGCGGCAGCCCTCATGTGAAGCTTTCCTCGTGTGAAGACCGAAGAGTGTAAAGACCATCGACTCTACCGTGCGACGACACCGGCAAAGGACATAAGTATCGCTTTTTATCTCTCCTCTTTCCACTTCTGTTTCAGGTTTTTATAAACTATTTCTTACTATGTGTCAGTAAGTTGTTGTTATTTTAGCATGTGTGTTTGCCTCAGTGTTATTTTTTTAGGATTACTGATGAACTAATGTACTTTGATTTGTATTAGTTATCTATTTTAGTTTTAGTTACAGTTGTAGTCATGTTGTCATTTTATTAGTTTTTTTATTATGTCTATATAGGCTTTTTATTAAGTTTTACTTTTATTTAATTTGAGTTATTTCAGTACTTCAACATACAAAATGGAAATGAAATAATATATACAGTATATATTTAATGTATATGTATATGTGTGTGGCAGTACATACACATATGTAGTTGTTTTTTGGTGTTTGGCTTAGTGTTATGTTAGAATCATTATTATACTCATACCTTTTGTTCTTTTAATATTTTGAATTGTTTTTAGCTTTATTTTTTTGTTTTCATTTAAATGCTTTAGTCTTGAAATGTTGTTGTATGCATTTGTCATTTTTATTTAATTTATTTTACTTTCTTAAATGTGTATATATATAGTATTTATAGAGTTTTAGCTTTTAGTTTTAATTACTTTTTCTTATTTGTAAGTCGCTTTGGATAAAAGCGTCTGCTAAATGACTAAAAGTAAAGTAAAGTAAAGTAAAACGTCAAACATGTCAGCTCTTGCGTAGGCTAAACTTGTGGCGACAAGTGAGATCCATGGACAAAAGATTCAGTTACTGGAATAAGTTCAAAATACTGAGATGTTTGTCCTAACATGAATTATATTTAAGAAGGCTTTGTTAACTTCAAAGTGGGAATATTATCTTGACAAAAAAATATTACGCCACTTTTCTTCGGTCACAGGCGAGTATAATGACACAACGCAGTCTCGAGAGCACTAAAGAGGCCGTCAGAGGAACAGAAATGAAAAGGTCTCAAGCCAAATTAATATCATCACAGAAATCTACGGTCACGAAATATCAGCCAGTTGTTCACTTCTGTGTTGTCTTGCTAGTTATTTGTCTGATTTCTAACTGATTTGTTTACTAATGCTCACAAATGTACATGTAGGTTGAAAATGCACCATTTTCGGAGACGTCTCCAGCAAAAAAGATAAAGGCACAGCATTTCAGATCAGCAGCTGGAGACATGCCTTATGGGTTTGAAGTAGCATTAGCAGGCAAGTCTTGGTTTTTCTAATATAATAATAACTCTCTTTATCAATTATTTGACATATGTGAGGTTGTATATGACAGCCATTTAAGTTACCTCATGTTTTAAACACAACAATTATTTTTCATGACCATTCCCGTAGACTTCAACTTGTGAGGCATGTTACTCAGTTTTCTGTATGTCTTTTCATTTTAGAGGCTAACCGAGAGGTCAGTGTCCTCTTTTCCAAGTACTCCGAGGTCTTGAGGTAACTGGATGGATTTGTATGCTGTGTCTTATCATCAGTAATAGATCTATAAGGTTTACAGTCAAACATTAATTTCACATATTTTCTTCCAAGGGAAAGAGCTGCTGTGGATGCTTCACAGCTTGGAGAACTGGAGGATATACTTACTGAAGCCAGGAGCTTGGAATCTCATCTTAAAGAGAAGAAGGAACACCTGAGACGATCTTTGGCTTTGATCTCTGACAAACTACAAGGATAGGTTCAGTTCTTTTCAGTGGTGTTATTTGATTCACCTAATGCATCTCATTTGCTATACAAGCATCAGTTAAGACATTGTTAAAATGTTGATTGTACATGTTCATATTATACTTTAGAAGTTATATACTTTACAATAATAGAAATATAGGTGTTATGCTGAAATAAAGCTGATATGTGGTGAGTCACAATCTGTAGTGATGTATCATAAAAACAATTGCATATATATATATATATATATATGTATACACACAAGCATTTGTTATTTTAATAAATTCTTATTCTTCTAGCAGACATTATTGAAATTTAAAGTTACTGAGATTATATAATACAAGTTATTAATTCAGGAGAGTAAAAACAACACTAGTAGAAAATTAAAAGTAGGTTATTCAGAGACAGCTTGAACATCTTGCTAAATTTTTGGGCTTTTCAAAAGAGTCTCTCAGTGTCTATTTTGGAAAGTCCCATGGAATCCATACGGAATGTTGATAGGTACCTCAGCCCGGCCCAGTTCTTCAAATGATTTTGCATCCAGCACCAGAAGGAAGGTGCTCTTGTCCTAGAGGGACAATTGCTCATTAGCCTAGCCATATATATATTTTACCTCATTTTTGAAAAGCTAACAAGCAATATTTGAAACCACTGAGGAACATGTCATGTTATACCTGATTTGGGGTGATGACCACGGACAGAATGACTCCATCATCCTCTTCTACAGCACCAGGTGATGAGACAAAGATCGGTTCTGAGGGATACATGCCTGCATGTTTCCACACCTGTCATAAGTTGAAATATTAGTTCAAATGACTAAACATTAAAAGTTTCTGACACAATTTTAACATGCATTAACTGAATACTCCTAACTAACCTTTATTTGTTTGCCTTGAAGGTCCATTTTAATGAGGGAGTCTCCAACCAGGTGTCTGAAGCCACATCCGTAGACGTAACGGTAGGGACAGGAATTGCACATTGAATAGTTGATGTGTGGGAATTCCAGACCTCCATATTCATGGAGATCATCACCATGGAGATCTTCATGTGTGCAAAACACCTGTATAAATACACAATTTACAATATGATATTATAGCAAAAACATATTTTTTGGAATTGCATGTAGATAAACTAGACAAAAAGTTATCCACACAAACCAACCTTATTCTTGTCTGTCTTGATGGCTGTGGCAGTGTTGTTCAAGAGCGTGTTGAGATTTTGCCCACAGGGTGTATGACTGTCCATGTTCAGTGGCAGGACAAAGCGGCGGGGGAACACTCTGCACACTGTGTTGTATACCTAGCAAAAAAGAAAAAAAAAACAATGAACACTGAAGTACACTGAAAAATTGCTAATAAATTTCACAAATATTTACAAAGAATCGGCAAGTAACACATTAAATTAAACGTGACATTTTTAAATAGAAAGACTGAAATAGTATTTTTTCGTAAAATGTACTTCGATAATTGTTGCATTTAGAACTTCGAAAAATCTTTTTTTTTTTACAGTCTAGTTGTTTGGAAAAACTTGTGAAAAACAAGGGTGCGTTTTACACACAGATATAACATAAAAGTAAGGTTTTACCTCATCCAGAGCATTTCCAGACTTTTTTAGATTCTGAATCAGGTAGTTGTTAATTGCTTGGCCATCATCAGAACAGCACATGTCCATGATCAGAAAACCGTTTTCTTCATAAAAGTTTATCTGATGGAAGGTTGACAGTGGCTTTGCATAATATTTGATGAGGCTCAGCTGTGACCGAAGCAGAATCATTTCAAAATGAGTTATACTAAATAAAATAACACGAGTGAATGCAGTGTGGAGTTATTAGCAGTAGTTACCTTTCCTGTGTGTTTATTGATTACATGGAAAACTGTGTTTCGTTTGGGGTCCCAGTATACGCCCTCATTAATCCCCTTTCCACGGAGTCTGCTTGTCACAATCTTCAAGAGATCCATTTTGATTGGCTGCTCGATGAATACCACATAGTTCTCTGACATGGCTGCAATAAGAATGTCATATGTTTATACATATATTTAAAAAGATTTCTATTTTAAATAAATGTTATTCTTTTGAACTTTCATCAAAGAATCCTGAAAAAATATTAAGCAGCACTGTTTTCAACATTGATAATATTTAAGAAATGTTTCTTGAGCACGAAATCAGCATATTAGAATGATTTCTGATAGATCATGTGACACTGAAGACGGGTAGTGACTGCTGAAAATTGCTTAATTACATTTCAAAATATATTCAAAATAAACCTTATTTTAAATTATGATATTTCACAATATTACTGTATTTTTTATCAATATAGCCTTAATGAGCATAAGAGACTTATTTTAAAATATAATTGTATACATTAATTTTATATTTACTTATTTATTTGCAAAAGAGTTTGAAGGCATTGCTCACATACCAAAGCTGTGATAGTAGGATGGTTTAGACTTGTCCTCCGAGGGGATTGAACACACAACTGTGGCTCCTTCCAAGGTATCATTTGGATTCACCTTTTTTGACGGCACCATTATTATATTGTAGAAAGCACCTTAAGAATAAAATTGAAAAAGAATGAGAATCCTTAATTTTTCGTTCAACTCGTTAAACACTTTTAGACATTTCTTACATTCAGTCAGTGTGATTTTTTTTTTAGATTTAAACTGCTGATAAACCTTTTCGAGTGTAAGAGTTGCCCATGTTGTATGTAGTTCCATCAGGATCCACATGGGGATGAGCTGTGGCTCCATTAACAGCAACAAATTTACTCCAGTCCACCTAAACACAACAATTTTCTCATTTCAGCTTCAGCTTGTTCTCCACACAAACATACTTTATACATTTTTAAAACATAATTACCTTTTCTTTTGTTTCCAGCGTCTGAGGGTCTATTTTGTGCATGAAGTTGGTCTCTGTGCTGACATAGTAGTCTCCTTTATACTGGACAAAGCTCACATTCGCATTGTCACTTGACTCTGTGGGAAGAGAGATGACGTGCTCACATATGCAGAACATATTCAGACCACTTCAATCAGAGCCGAAGATTTCACACTCACTCGGCAGCTCAAAGCGCGAGAGGAAGCGCTGGAAGAAGTTCTTGCATGGGTCTGGCATGGCAATCGTGCCAAATTCAGACACCATAATGTGGTTATGCTCAAGGTTTTCCTTGTAGCAATCGCTGTTGAGGAAGCGGCTCATGTACGTCACCTTTCCATCCTCAATGTGGAATTGGTGCATAAGCGCCATGCAATCAAACCAGTGGTTGAAACTGAGGAGCAAACACAAACGCTTGTTTATTTGCTTTGATAATTCTGATTTACTGAGTTCTCAAGGAGCCCAGATGATGCTCACCTGCTTCTTCCGATCTCAAACTTTCCAGGTCCATTCCTGAGGAAATTACCTTTGATCCAGGAGGGGATGTTACCTGTAATTGTAGTTGCGATGGGCTCTGGGGTTTCATCTGCAGAACACACCAGATTCTCTATGCACGGCAAACCAAGAACATCAGTGAGGTGTTGGTCTTTATTCTGTGACCTAGTCATTTTCCAGCCTGTGGGGGAAATAAGACTTTTAGATCTGAAGTTTTGTGCACTACGTACATTGAATCTATGATTAGAACGGTAACCTACCAGAAGTGCTGTTGTTCAGACGGTTCACAGAAGACATGCTGGTCTGCTTGTGATGGCTTGTTGTTGAAGATGTTTCAAGAGCTGTCCTGGAGACTCCCTTGTCTCCCTCTACTAACTAGACTCTCTTATAAAGAGATCTGTTGGGTCACATGGTGCTTATGCAATACCAAATCACAGACACCAACTGAAGTTGTTTGCTTAAATTATCTTACAGTTACCTTGACAAGAATGGTATGTTTTTAATTCAGTACAAGGTTGCTCTAAGCTAAAACAACTGAACCAATTAACTAGTTAATTTCTTGGAGTGCTCGAGTGCAACACATTTATATAAAAATAAATATAGAAACTGAACATTTGTCAGTATACCATTTGATACACAACACATATATATATATTGATATATTTCAATAATATCAGAAGCAGTTAATTATACAGAGCTAGGCAGATTTGTGGTGTTATTTTATTAGCAAAATTAATCATTCTAAATCAATCTAATCGTCTGGGAAATTCCGGTCAGCAGCAAATGATGTAACTATATCCTTACTTTAACTCAAACTTAAGAAGGAAAAAAGTAATAACTCTGAAATCTTAATGTTATGGGGGAAATTTAAGTGACCTTACCATAAAATCTAATAATCAAACCAGCTACGCTGAACCACAGACTTTCTTTGAATTTAAGTCTTCATCATTTCAGTAGCCTACTTCAATATTTATTTTAATATTAAATATATCAATACAAATATACAAATACCCTGTAGTGTTCACTTAAATTGATTTGAAATATTTGTATTCTTTTATTTATATATTATGTTAAAAAAAATCTGCAACAGTTTGTAATATGCATGCTATCGCTGATTGTACTAAATTCAGCCTCAAACTCATATGCATCTTAACAGGTTATGAACCAGTATCTACAGCAGATTAAAAAACTACAATTATCATTCTATGTACTGTACATTGTTTGAAAGTTATTCACAAGCTCAAGCATTGAATATTTCAGGGATATTTTAGCTAATTTTGGCATAGCATTATATTGGCTAATTGGTTCTTTACTTCATTAAAAAGTCAATTACACTGTAAAAATCATAAATATGTATACATATCTATGGCACAAAAACATTTTTAACTAATAAATAAAACAAAGATTTTTGGGATATACGTTTAGCAAGAAAATACTATTTTAGTCATTCTATTTCAAAATTCCACAGTTTAATAAAATGTGTTGCCGTTTCTTTGTATTTACTAATTGTGAACTGTACTACCAATTTGAGTTAAAATTGTCAGTACATTCAGCAGTACTCCACTTATTATGTGATATTCAGCATAAATGCACATTAAATCCATGGATTCAAAGCAAAGGCCCTAAGGTAAATTGCAATGAAATGTTTAGTGTCTGATTTAGGTCAGGTCAACTCTTTTTGATAGTTAGATTGAATAGATAGTGTCGTGTAAAAAAAATGTGAGTTTTCGCATCCTGTACAACAGAAAAATGTCCTTGTCCCATTTTTAGATCAATCACAGATACAGTCATTAAAATGCATTATGCATGGGGCAAAAATACATAACTCAAACAAAAAAGCGTTCGAAAGTTTAAAGGAAATTACAAATTTCGTCCTAACATCTGAAGGGGAAAAAACAATGTGACATTTCCAATTTATGTAATGTGAACAGTATGCTTATTTGTAATGAATGCAAAAATCTATGCATGAAATCTTATGCTTTCTGGGAATTTCCCTTAAAAACACGTTCATTGTGAAAAAACAGACTGATCTTGTCTCATATAAATCAGTAGTTCAACAAGTCACAGGCTATCCTGTTTAGAAGAGGTTTGATTCTTTCAGGTTAAACAGGTGAGCAGCTTACCTAATGTTCTCACCTTTATGTTTTATTGATTTACTGATGTGATCTAGCATGAGTTCGTTCCAAATATCAGTAATCAGTGCATTGTCTGCCTTGTAAGATATATGGTGATTACCTTAAATGGAGTTACGTAAAGTCAGTGACAGTTACTGATTTTGTGATATTGTCCAAACAGAATTTTGTAACATAATTACTGAAAGCTTATCCATCCCAATCTGAGCTGCTGACATTCACTTACACCTTCAATCGGTCCAGTAGTACCTTGAGCGCATGAACACGTCTCCAAAAGTGCACCTGACCTCTTTACCAGCAACTGCTCTGGCTATTGCAGAAAAACAGTACATTCTCGAGTCTGACATAAATAAATGGACTAGTATGAAAAATGTATTGACCTTCTGAACAAAAGCAGCATGTATTTAAGTCTGTGCCTGGGAATTTCCAGTGAAGTTATCCAAAATAAAATATGAATCATTTCCCCATGAGGCATTTGGTGCTATAACTGAATACATGGGCTCTTTAATTTCACAACAGTGCAGCAGCTGCCATAAAATACATCTCCCCTGAGGACACATTCATGGCTAATAAAGACAGTAAAGTGTGTGAGTGTTGAATGTCTCTTTTACATGCATGAAGCCCGTAAGCAGCACATTAAGATCAGGCTTAGAACTGCATAGCTTAACTTAGTTTTCTCTTAAATGACCTCAAAACAGCAACCTCAAATCAAAAAAAATGTTATGCAAGGTACCCACAGGATATTTAAACAGTAAATATTGCTCTACATAGTCATGGATAAATATAGTATCCAATGTCTAACAATAATCAAACAGCATTGAAAAGGTCCAGTTACATACTGTTTTTCCATCATTGTTAGTAAGCATCGTCATGTTGACACCATTTACAAAGCTCACCAGTGACTATCAAGAACTACACTCTATCTATGAATGTTTGCACTGGACATCTGATTTCATTACAATTTTATAAATACATATTTACAGGTTAAATCTATTCATGGTTGTAACATTATGTGCTTCACCTGCAAACCAGATTAGATTTTCTTACATAATATTGTTAAAACAAAACAGTTGTTTAATCCAAATACTGTGATCCTAATTCAAGCTTTATAACCTTAGCTATATGCCTTATCAGCTAGTTTTAGAGCACATGTTTTTAGTTTATAGAACATACATTTATTTTTTCCTTAAAGTAGCAATCACCGAGACCCTTGAAATGACATTGAAACATAATACTTGGTAAAATTTGAGAATTTTAAGATGTGCATTCAGGCATTTAATCTTTCAACTTTGCTTGTTGTAACACAGTACAGTGGAAAATCTTGTTGGCTCCAAAGAAATCATATAATCCAAAAAAACTGCCTTTATTCTTAAGTGCACAATTGTACCCAAAGCTTCAATCTGCATAGAAATCTAGTCATACAGATGTATTGCACAAATCTCCATAGCACTTTAAACAGACAAAAGTGCAACCAGACTCTATCATATCATTTTCAGACATGTATAAGATCATGATAACAGGACTTTCAAAATCTCTATCTAAAATGTATTCCCATCAAAGTCATTCAGGAAAAATATCTCTAGAAACCCTTAGATCCACAACTCATATTTTGTCATTTAGATTCAATTTACATCATTACACGCACAAGCTGGGATAAACCCGTTTTAAATACATCTAAGTAATTTAAAATGAAAGACGTAAATAAATTGCTTTTAATGCAAAGCACATCCAGTTACAAATTGCCTTTCATAAACAATTACTTACTTGAGCAGAAATACAGCCATGCAAAGTGTAAAGCCGATATACTGTCAATGTGACTTGAATTCTCCAGACGTTGTGGTCATTAATGGAGGACTCTCAAGGTGCATGTTCAAATACCTGTGAAAATTTAATTCGGCATATGACAACCAACTTAAGTCAAGATATTGTTTTAACACAATGGCTGACAAAAAGACATTATGCAATAAATACGGCCAAAACATTTATTACCTGATCATTTTCCTGTAAAAATGTTAGCGTATTGATTTTTCAAGTTCTTCATCTTGTAAGTTGTAGCCACAACAATTAGTTCCTTTTGCTGCATCAGAAACACTGATTTACCAGACAAGAGTGGATGACATGCAGAGATGTCCATCTTAAGCAGAAGCTAAGCATGTTCTGAACAAACTGACAACATTAACAATTAAAAACGCTTGCAAATCGACACAATGTTGTCAAAAATTATATATTTATAGAATTGACATATAATGTCACTGTATACAATAAACTGGAACGCTGATGCCGAAAGTGATCCCATCCTCCATCTCAGTCCAGTCGTTTACTCCACAAGAGGGCCACAGCTTTACAAATCCCCACGTCATGGTAGTTGAAGTAGCACAGGCCAGCGAAGGTGACGGTCGACAGAAGGAAGAGGCCAGCATTAGCCATCTTGATTTTAAAGTCTCCGTGAACGTAATCTGTCAAAACCTGGCCAAGACCCCTGGAAAACACAAAGTAAAATGCAATGCTGTCCTTTTCCTTTTTTTACAATCTACAAAATAACATCTTATTGCAAAAATCTATACTTTTACAGTATCTGTACTTCCTACACCATTAATAACTATAATAAATGAACATTAAATATAAAAGAAAAGCTCAAATGCAGTAAAACACAAAATATATACTTAAAACATATTTGTTTGAAATGTAGTCATGCATATGGTATTTGGTAAAACTTTCTAGATCCAGGCTCAAACATGTTTAAGAGCCAGACTGTTACCACATTTACACCAAATTGAAATAATAAAAATGCAAACTATATGTATATGTGGCCCTATGTGGCCCCTAATGTAACTAACAAAATTAGAAGTGTGGCCTTGAGTGCCGAAGGTTAAATCCTTGCACGAAGGGTGCAACAGCCACACATGACTTGGCTTTACAGACCAAAGCAGACACCTTAATTTCATGTCAGAAACTATTTTTAATGGTATAGTGCAACGCTCAATTGAATCTGACCCATCAGTTACTAAATTGCAGAGTTGAAAGTTCATATGGAATTACAACAGTCACATACTAAATATTAACAACTGACTGTGGCAACATTTACTGATAATTTATCTAAATTGTTCTCGACAGCTTTCCATAATTAAAAAAAAAAGCTAGACAAAAAATGAACAGCAAAGGACCATTTCATTTTGAATATGTCAAGCATTGATTATAAAACACATATTCTCTTACCAGTGACCATGTAGAGTAAGTGCAGCTGCTAAAGTGTAGTCAACAGCAGGGCCGGGGTAATAGTATGCAACGGGTGCCAAACCCAGAAGAACTATGCTCAGGATCCGCTCTCCTGTCCAGTGCAGAGAAGCGGCTTTGGACCCAGAGCCCGCTATTAAATGAAACAGTAACACATCAACAACTCTTCTTCACAACAGAGCATCTCCGTCAACACACATTCAGTCTTTCAGTGGCATATGTCTCCATCCTGTACCCCAACAGAGGAAAAGAAAAAGCTGAAGATGACATTCTGAGTGTTTGAGCTTTACTATGTTTAGTCTGTAGCTCTAAATGACCAGTGTTTTCATTCTGTCTTTACCAGCGATCAACTTATTTACCATTTGCTCTGAGAACCTGACAGATGGTTAGCAATATCCACATTCAGCATTTATCTTCTGTTGCCTATTACACTGTAGTCACCTGGTAATAATCATTTACTTGACTAATGAAACAATCATGATTAGATTTGGACTTCTGAATGTTAAAACACTAAAATTCAGACCCAACGAAAAGGCTTTTGTCCAGTCTGACAGTACTGTCAACTATATATTAGGACAATAAAATTATAGGAATAGACAAAAAGCTCTGTACTGATTTACAATGTTAAAACACATACACACACACACAATCTAAATCACTAACCATAGTTGGATGGAGTTGCATGGATCTTTGCTGATATCAAGTATGGACAATCACGATCCTTCTTCTGTACGGCCAAAGGTCTGATGAGGGAGGAAGAGCGAAATAACAGAGCTGTGGAAAGTGACAAGAATGAACATTACAAGGAAACATAAGTAATTAAAAGGAAAAGGTACTCGGAATTAAAATTTCACGCAATTTGATGTTCATCTGTGACGAATGAGGTCACTGATGGATGTTCATACAATGCTTATATAAATCATTTAAAAACACCCCACATAAAGTGATAAATTACGAGAATATAACTTTTACTTTGAGCCTTTACAAATACTTTTTATAAACAGACACATTATTATACACTAATAAAATCCATGTCATCTTCTAGTCTCAGTCTTGCTGTGTACGTTATTGCGTTTACCACTTTAACACGTAACACTTTAACATAAATATAATAAAGTTAATTGGTTAATTTAGAGAAAGAGAAGAGAGACAGAGCTGATATATTAAAAGACAGGGTTAAGTTAGCGTGCTAGCTATTCAGTCGAAGTACGCTTGCTGCGATTAACATGAAACGTCATTGGAGAATGATTTCTTTTACATACGACCTTGAAGCTAAACAACTGTAATACAGGATGAGGTGCCGAGAAGAAAAGCATGAAAACGCTCAAACTTACGGCTGACACCTCTGTGGCAAACAGAACTTATCCTGACAAGAGCCGCCATGATTCTCACAAACAACCCAAGGTCACTGGAATCACCCGGATGTACTAATGCTGCCAGTGACCGGTGTGATGAAATTAACCTTTACATGACAAATATGCTAATAAAAATCGATTAAAATATATATACTAGAATACTTGATTTTAATATAGTACATCACATCGAGTTGGTGTTTTAAGCATCTGGGCCGTACCAATTTAAACAATATTTCATTTATGAACAGATGTGTGGATGTTCTTTAAACTTACTCAACTTATGTTCGGATCAGTCATTAAAGCTCGGTAAACACTGGTAGGGTTGCCAACCGTTCCGTATAATACGGAATCGTCCCGTATTTAAGGCATCAAAGAAGCGTTCCGTATGAAAGCTATACGGAACGCAGTTTGTCCCGTATGGCATATGCCGTATGAACACCTAGACCATACGAATAACAAACTCTAAATTGAGAATTAATCATTCTTTTTTGACAAGTGTTTGATTTGTAAACATAACCGTTCCAGGGAGGCTTTTAAGACCAAGCGGAATCCTCTGCCGCTTCACAACGAGCGGGACTCTAACGGAGTTGGGTTTTTTAACGACCGCGTTTCGACTTCAGCAAATCAGTTTGAGCGAATGCAAACAACGTGATTCCAACATCCAGCCACGCAAGAAAACGTGCATTTTACCTGAAGACGTGATCAATAAGGAAAGTCGTATTTCTCTAATGTATACACCTAGATAAAGCAATTTACATTTAAGTAACTTCCAGCGGATTCTTAACCTTGAATATCATTCTTAAAACACAAAATGAGCCCCCCCCCCCAAAAAAGGTTTGGGGTCAGTAAATTTCTTTTTTTCTTCTTTTTTAAAGCAACTTTTAGAATACTTTTATTCAGCAAGGATGTGTTAAATGGATAAAAAGTGATATTGTTAGAAAAGATTTCTATTTTGAATAAATTCTGTTCTTTTTAACTTTTTACTCTCCTGCAAAGTAAATCCTCCCCTCATTCTGGACTATAGACTTACTATAGTCTCTCATCTGGAATGGAGTGAAGATGGCAAAGGCGCCATGGCTGTAAGGATCCAGTCCCCACTTTTTCACAACACCCCCAGTGTAGAGCTGGCGGATGTGTTCTCCATGGATCTTCACGAGGTCATTCAATACCAGATACTTCAACTCATCTTCATTTATAGTCTGTAGGAATGCAGCTTCATCAGAGGAGGTGTAAGAAGCCAACACAGCGCCGCCTGATATCCCGGAGAAATTATGACTGGGGTAGTGGATGAAACGTGATGGCAGATCTGTGATGCTTTTCCCACCCCGGATGCCATCATTCTCCCAGAACTTTTTGCTGAAACTCAGCACTACTTTTGTGGAGCTGGAATAGTGCAGCGACCGCAGTGCTTCCATCTTTTCGGCCGACAAAGGAGGCTTAAAGTCAATGAGGAGCGTTGCTTTGGCTGTGGCCGTCACCAACACATAATCGGCAGTAATGCTGGTCAGGGTGCCGTGGTTATGACGGTCTTCATATGAAACTGTCACGTTGTTCTGCGTTTGACTGATGGCCTGGACTTTTGAGTGTGTAAGAATTGTGGCATTTAGCACAGTGTACAATGCATTAGGGAATGATTCAAAGCCGCCTTTAAATTCAGAATACCTGAAAAAGAGATGTAGATATTTTGATTATGTTTGACATCATTTTGTTATTTTAGCTGATATGTACTACCGTACAAGTATGATTTAAAAAAAAAGAAAAAAAAAGAAATTAGTACTTTCATTTAGCAAGGATGCATTAAATTGATTAAAAATAACAGTAAATACATGCTGAAAAAATTCAGGAAAAAATCCTGTCATGATTGCCACAAAAAAAAATAAAAAATTAAGCAGCATAACGTCTCGGTTACGTATGGTAACCCTCGTTCCCTGAAGGAGGGAACGGAGACGTCACGTCGGATGACCGACGAAATTAATGCTTCTTGAGCACCAAATCAGCATATTATAATAATTTCTGAAGGATCATGTGACACTGAAGGCTGGAGTAATGATGCTGAAAATTCAGCTTTGCCATCACAGGAATAAATAACATTTTAAAATATATCCAAATATTTGCAATAATATTTCACAATATTAGTGTTTTTACTGTATTTTGATCAAATAAATGCAGCCTTGGTGAGTGTAAGAGACTTCAGTAAAAACATTTAAAAATCCCAAACAGTTGAATGGTACTATAGAGGATATAAGATTGGGTTAAACGTAATATCTTACGTGTCATTGTCATTTATATCACACTGGATGTAGAGCATCTCAGTGAGGGCAGTGTAGAAGAAGCTGTTCTCATTCAGGATATCACCAATCATTCGCAAAGCTCCTCTGCTCAAATTTCCCACGTTAACTAAATACTCCTGTTACAGATTGGATTTAGAGACATCCTGCCATTAGTACTCATATTTAGACTTAAATACATTTTTAAAGCTTATTATAAATGCTAATTAAATCTGATGACGTATTACAGACATTTTACCTTAACTGAGTATGAATCATATTTGTTCAATGTTTTCTCACAGCCCATTTTCTGCAGATCATCTTTTAACTAATAAAGATCCAAGAAAGAAAGAAACAATAAAATATATTAGCAAATAAATCATAAAAGCAAGATAAGGGGAAAAGTTTTGTTATAACAGTATTACATTGTTAATGAATTCATTATTGAATTATTCTAAATTATTCGGACTTCATTAGTAAATAACCTTATTCATTCTCCTTTTAAATAAACATTTGGCTGGCCAGATACATAAACGTTTTGAATAAACTGAAAATTTTGTCTTTTCACTCACCTTGCCCAAAGCCGTGTCAAACAGTTCTCTGGCACTTTTCCCCTTCTCGCAGTCATACACAGGGTAGTTCAGAATGTCTGGGTTCTGCTTTACGGTGTAGGTTTTATAACGAAATCCATTTATAAAATAGTAAGTGTTTTCATCGTCCTGTACGAAGCTTCCAAACTCCAGGCCCAGCTTTTGTGCAAAATGCCTAAGAATCCTTGAAAGTGATATCATTGAAAACAAGTTGATTAAATGGATAGTTCACTAAAAATAAAAATTGAAGAAATTGTTGAATTAAGTTTTTTTTTTTCTTTTCTTTGTGCACAAAAAGTATTCTCGTAGCTTCATAATATTACGGTTGAACCACTCACTATGTTTCCATGCATCACCTTTTTTTAATGCGCATTTTGAAGTATCGCATGAGAAACGAGTGATGGAAACACCAAATTTCGAATAAAAATCCCTTAATTCACAAAAATGTTTTTACGCTCGCTTGAGGTGGTTTTTGACTTTTGCGAAAAAGGGTTGATGCGAATAATGGGAGATGGAAATGCATTTTGCGAATAAATTCCTCCAAGCGCATCAGAAAAGTCATGTGACTTTGCCAGTGTTGCCAATTTAGCTACTTTGTAGCTAGATTTAGCGACTTCCCCGCCCCTTTTGAGACTTTTTTCAAAAGTTTAGGGACAAATATAGCAACTTCTTGGACAAACCTTATCTAAGTTCTCGTCTTGCCCACTGATCAACGTTCATCTTTATATAGATCAGTGAATTTGCCATTGTGATGTCATCTAGTGACATTTAGCTACCAGTTTTAGCTACTTTCAATTGAAAGCAGTTGGCAACACTGTCTTGGAGCCGCCACTGTTCAGGACTCACAACCACATTCTCAGAAAACACGCGCTGTGTGAATGGAACAGGACTGGACATCTAGGCTAGTTGTCTGTCATGTCGTACAGTGTGAGAGAGCCGCTCAGCTGCACAAACGCGTGTTTACCGTGTGTTGCTGTTTTCATAATTTTCGTGTGTGTTTGCATTTAAAAACGGAATGGAACAGAACGGAGGCACTCGCGGGTTAGTTTTTAAAGATAGTTTGAACATGACGGGCGAGATGCTGAAATCATGTAGCCAGAGGAGACGAAGTGTTCAAAAGGCCAGAACGCTTTTTGCCTTTAAAAAGGTGAGACACAGAACAGTGGGACGTAAAAATCGCAAGGTCTCCAGGCGTGTTTCTGAACTCCTTTTAACTTGAGCACTGCGTTTCTAGAATGCCGTGTCACGACATGCGAGACGCACGCGCAAATGTAAAATATTTTGAAGGTTTTAAGTGGTTTCAGTAACTTACCGTGATATAGTCTTTAGGTCATTGATGGTTTTAAAGTCATTGTCATTCCACAGCATCTGAAATGTTGTTATGGTCATTCAGAAATACACGAGCAAAATCTGTCAAGTATTTCTGTATAATTGCCTCCTAGAAATGTCTTAGACGACTGCGTTCCCAAACAGCAGCATCCACCTCCGAAAGCAATGACCGCATTCATTGTGTTTCGTCTGCTCGCTCTGAGGCGCAAGTAATTGTATATGAAAGTTATTATATTCTCCCACTTTTCTTAGTGATTTCTAGTGCCAGTTTATCAGGAAGTGACGATTTTGTTCTCTTTGACTTGTTGGATGGAAACGATGCTTGTTCGCAAATGTTTTATGCGATATTCCAGTTTTGCGCATAAGTTAAATTCGCAACTTTGGATGGAAACCGGGTTACTGATGTCACATGGACTATTTTAACGATGTCCTTACTACCTTTCTGGGCCTTGAACATGTCAGTTGCGTTGCTGTCTATGCAGAGTCAGAAAGCTCTTGGATTTCATCAGAAATATAATTTGTGTTACGAAAATGAACGAAGGTCTTACAGGTTTGGAATGACATGAGGGTGAGTAATTAATGACAGAATTGTAATATTTTCGTAAACTATCCCTTTAAGTTGTGGCCTGCCCTTCCACCTTCTGACCACCAGGGGTCATTGTCACTTGAGCAGAAGTTTTGATTTTCAGTTTCACATTTTGGATTTCCTGTTATTCATTATGAATTACACTATCAAATAAATCTCTGCACTTTTATCTTTACTCTCAGCTGATTGCGATACACTAATTTCACACTAATTATTGTACTGTCTACCCTCAGAAAGTTACATGAGGTGAATATGAAATAGAATTTGACTCTCATGGATAGAGATTAAAGAACTTACTTGTGGAAACTTGGGATCCTCATGGCACCGAGTTCTGCATACCAACCCTCTTTTTTGTCCCTATGTGTTAGAATTCTTCCACCTATACGCTCACTTGCCTCAATAATCGTCACCTAAGAGCAGAGAAAAAAGAATAGGCAAAAGCAGCACACGTTAATTGAAATTCTATTATAATGACGTATAATTATAATACAGATATTAAATAGAAAGTACATGTGCTTCTACAGAAAAGACCTTAAATAAACTTTAATCATGCAGTGCTTTACGGAAATATTTTCTAGGGATTTTCACTGCTTCACCCACTGTATATAACCTTGATTACACTGTATATTACTTGATAAAATGACTGATTTCCTCATGTGTTAGGAAAAGCCAGGTCATGAGATTGGAGATGTCATTTTGGAACTAGCAGAAAGTTACTATATTAGGCCACATCATGAATCTCACGTGGAAGCGGTTAGTGGTCTGAAAGGGTTAAACCCAGCAATATAGATAAATGAACTAACAGATAACTGGAACTAACTTCTCATATGTGAAGAAATGGGGAAAACATATTGTTCTGCTTTTACCAATTATTTCTAATAATCTCTTGTAACTAGAGACATGATTTGCACCAGTCATTTTTTCCTTCAGTAGATGTGTTTAGAGAGCTCTTCCTATCAGTATTTCCTGTTTTCATGGGTCTGTTATGGTTAGTGTTAAATATTGCTTTGTGCTATGTGTTATGAGACCTCATGTCCCGCATCCTCCAGGAACTTGGCTGCAGTGAGTCCAGCAGCACCTGCTCCGACGATTACCACATGCTGAGGGTTCTTCGATGGAGGGAGATCTTGTTCTGTTAGCTTCAGAAGGTAATCATAATCAGAGTCTTGTAAGCATTTGAAAAGAGGGTCTTCGTCTGTAGTTCCACCAGCATGGTAGGTGAAAACCAAGATCAGTGCCAGCACTGCAGGTTGAAAACAGAAGTTACAGGGTAAAATGATCAAATAAAAGGGTTATTGGCAGTTAGGCTATGTTTGAAATTTATTTTCATTTATACACACTGCAAACCCTTATGCGAATAAAATAATTAAGCGTTCATAATTAAACAGCATTTGAAATGTGAATTTTTGTAATCAAACTCCAATAGTTCACTCAACATTATCACTTCAAAATGGATGCACTGAGAAATAGCCTACCCATAAGCCTTTGGAGTTTAGTTATTTCGTTACACTCTTAAGAAAAGTCCGTAAAAATAGGGATCAATGTAGGCCTACTTTGTTAATATGAATATTTTCCATATTTATTTTTCACAGGTGTTTTACCCGTGTTTGGAATTACTTATTGCATTTGAGTCTTGTTTTGGGGTTAAAGAAATGCCCGTAAACCTAACGGATAGGCTGACAGAAAATTACCAGTAGCTGCATTTTTTCCCCTTAGGAAAATACGGCACAATGTTATGCCTACTATGTTAATATGAAGGAATTTTCGAATTTGATTTTTACAGGTGTTTTACCCGTATTTTAATATGCATTGGATTGTGTTGTTTTTTTCTAAGAATTAGGTGAGGGTTTTCTACGACAGGTGTAGGCTAGTTTTGACAGAAAATTATTTGCTATTACTTAATATAAGGGAGTTTCTTAAAAGTTCTTCGTAAATTCCACTTATTCTTCAACATTTGCTGCTCCCCTTTTTATAAGGTGTCAACATGGAACATTCTTTGTCATATATAGTCTAATTTTAGTTTTGGATAGGCTAACTGAACAGCAGCGAAATGTTTTTAAAAGTGCTGCCTAAGCTAATTGAAGATTTAAAAATATTCAGTAGACTAGTTCCGTTTTCCAGCAAAACGATCCTGTTTTCCCATTTACTCAATACAGGAAGATTTCTCCACACATGAAAGTGGTTTCGGTTTACTTTCTTGTTATGAATGAAAAATACACGTCACCTATTTCACCTCTTTTGGAGTCCCTATAATTTAAATTTAGCATGTAGCCTATGTCTCCGCAACTGATTCAGACAAGCATTTTGACTAATCAAAAGCACATGTCCTTCTAATACTCACAGTATTTACACGGGCTAAAGTTTTGAAACATTTTGAACTGTTCTAGCCAGAAGCCGGAGAAGGAGAAGCACTTGCACGTTCTGGAAAGCGAAACCTATGGAGAACAGAAGCAGTTTGCAAAATCATGGAGAAATCTGGGCAGCATAATAACCGTTATATCACTATAACAGTATAAATCACAGACAAATTCAAGCTATAAAAATTCAGAATGATACTCACAGTCCACTGGAATAATTGACTAATACTCACCTTCATAATGAAAAATGGTTAAAAGTGGTCCAGGGCTTTACTTAACCGCTATAGATTATAGACTAAAGAGACAGAGAAGACGGATAGGCTATTCCAGCAATAAATATGTCTAATGTTCCTTTCAGGATAATGAATCATGTGTGGGCTCCCCTATTCTGCAAGAAATATTTTCCCACACAGACTCAAGATTCAACCACACTGAACAAATTAGATTAGTGAGCTTTAGTATTCATTAACATGCCTAATTTCCGCCAGAATCAGTCATTTCTACCACTCATTTATGAGTTTATTCTTATGACTTTATGACCTAAATTTAGCATCTAAGTTTCTATCAAAATTACGTGTTTCCACTTTAAGAAATTTTAAAATCTTAGGCAAATAAATCATAGATCACTTACCAGATATCCTGTTACTCACTCTGACCAGTCTGCCCTGATCTGTTTTATACCATGCAGAAACTGAAAGGATGGCTATGATGGTGATGATGTATTTAGCCACAAAGTTTCCGAGGCTGTCATGTTGCAGGTTAAGAAAAAAAACGACATCTTTATCTTCATAGGCCTATTTAATGGGAAGACATGAAGATATGGACTTTTTTTTACTCCTGACTACAGCACATTTATTCCTTTTAACCTCAAAGTTCTGTTTCTTGAGTAAGATCAAAAGGCTGGTCACAATTCTCCTCATCCCTCTTATCACAGGTTTTAGCAGCAAAGCTTGAGCTTGTGTGAACTTGTCAAGTCAAGTCTGCACTAGGAGTGAGAGGCATGTCACATATAGATACATACATATACCATTTAAAAGTTTGGGGTCAGTAGGTTTTTTTTATTTATTATTATTATTATTATTTTGAAAGAAATTAATACTTTCAGCAAGGACATGTTACATTGCTAAAACGTTATATTAAAGACTTAATAAAATATAAACATTTTTTTTTTAATTAATGCTGTTCTTTTTAATTTTTTATTAATCAATGAATCCTGGAAAAAATAGCCCATCACAGGTTCCCAAAAAAATATTAAGCAACACAACTGTTTCTAACATTGAGAATAGGCTAAATCAGCATATTGGAATGATTCCTGAAAGATCATGTGACACTGAAGAAAGGAGTATGTCTGATGCATAAGCATAGAATACGCTTTAATAACACTTAAATTCGTCCCTCGCACTTTTTTCGGGGCAAGTGTGTTTCACATAGAGGTTTTCAAAGGCTGGTGTGAATAAATCTAGATTTAACTTAAAAGAGATAGGATAGTCTGTGCATGACCTGATGTTTTATTTGCATCCAGAATGAGGCTATGTGAACATCACAGAGCGCTCAACATTCTCATGCAGTGTATGTTTCATTCATACTCGAAGCCAGAGGGCGCTCTTGCGCAGAACCTCCAAGACAGACTCATAGAAGTAATAACTTATGCTAGGAAATCCCTAATATGGCCCTGTCCCAAATGGAACACTTCATGTGCACTTGCGGTCTTACGGACTTACAATGTTTAACTTGTTTTTTCAAGTTATCTCCAGGTAATAAATAAAGTATATGAATAATGCAGTGCTAGGCCTAATTGACATTGCATTTATTACAGTATTTTCTGCCTTATTCTGTGATAAAAATGGGGGGAAAGTGTTTGTATAAACAAATCATAAAATTATCATTTTAAAAATATAAGAAAAATATTATAGAATAAAAATGATTGGTTATTGTCCAGCTGTGTATTTGATTTCTTAGCCAATTAAAAGTATAAGAAATAAGAGAAAAATAAAAGTGGTCAATTAAAAAATAAATAAAGGACACGAGGCAGTTGTTTTATATGACGGCAACATGGCGGAGGAGGCATTCTGTGCTTAAAAACAACGGCATCAATGGCGCCTAAGAACGCATATTGAGAAATAATATTTCTAAATTATTTTAAAATAGAAAATCGTTATTTTAAATCGTAATTATATTTCACAATATTATGCTACTGCTTTTGATCAAATGAATGCAATCTTGATGAGCATAAGTCACTTCTTCTTTTTGGGATCAGTAAGATTTTTAATGTTTCCCTGGAAACGCGTCTTGGGGCAAAATGCCACCTAATTGGACAAAAAAATGCCCCTGTATAATTAAACTAAACCTATTACGGCTGTTGCTAATAAAGTGAAAATGTAAATAAAATTAAAAGTGTCGACTCATCTCATATTTCTTTTTACGTGTTTTTACAGTGTTGCAAATTAAAACCAATCGCACATGATTCTGTTGAGCTTATGAATGCAATGGCCAATCAGAGGTGTTCAGATTAGTCATCACTGAAACGCCGGAGTTTGTTCAGTGCGCGTGTTTTGAGCTACGGAAGAGACGCTGTGGCCCAGGCACTTTCCGAGACTGAGTGAAACTGTTTGGCCTTCTTTAGGTGTGCGCTTAAATGGACAAGTATACATTAACTGTTGTGGGAATAATCAGTGACAGGTGCAGGGCTGATGGGAAATGTAGTGCAGGAAGGAAACTAGTACTCTGGTGATGGGGCCCTCTGGTGGCCCGAAGGGAGAGTAACAGGAGCGCTCTCCGTGACAAATATCTTATAATTTTTACATAGTTGTTTTTGTGTTTTAAACTTAATAGATATTACAAATTATCATATAAAATCATTGATTCTTGTGATACTTATGGTCAACTTCATAGATATTACAAATGAAAAGTTCATTTGCAAAAACAGATAACTCCATTTTTAAAAATTTTCAAAAATCATGTTTTTTTTTAAATCCGGCATTCCAATTAATATCAGTCAAACTGCAGTTGGGTTGTTTTGATTAAATAATAATAACTTAAAAAATACAGCTAACTAACACAATAAAACACAATAAAAACATGACAACACAATAAAAAACATGATTTATGAAAATTAATTTAAAAAAACAGTTATCTGCTTTTGCAAATAAACTCTTCAAACAGTACAGTAGGCTATTCATTCATCCTTATGAATGCAATGGCCAATCAGAGGTGTTCAGATTAGTCATCACTGAAACGCCGGAGTTTGTTCAGTGCGCGTGTTTTGAGCTACGGAAGAGACGCTGTGGCCCAGGCACTTTCCGAGACTGAGTGAAACTGTTTGGCCTTCTTTAGGTGTGCGCTTAAATGGACAAGTATACATTAACTGTTGTAAAAGTAATCGAATGCTAGGTAGTACATTAGATCTCAACATATTTCATATAACTTGACGCCATCTAGGCACCAGGACTACTGAGCTACTGCAAAAACAGTAGTTTCTCATCATATATTATTTCATTGAGCACTCAATAAGCACCCTGGCACTGAATGTGCTTTTGTGGTCATATAACTTTTTCTCATGAAAGGACTATCGTCTAGCAGACACTTCCCCAGGCTAAAAGCAAAACTGTGACAACCACATATCCTGCAGCAGACATAACCACATGCACCATGCTTGCATATAAACATGCTGTCTTTATCATGAACAAATGCTAAGTGGTTTTATAAGCTGCTGACGTCATATGCTGATAATGCAGGTATTTATTGGTTGTCCATATATGTTTTATTGGATGATGATATATAGTTCTCATTGTCTGTTGAAATGTTTACAGGTGACAGCTGATCTTTTTGATTTTTTGCAAGTACTTCAAGTACTTGTAACGTTAATTCAGTGTATTTTTATTAACAAAGAGAAAAGAATGAAACAAAAGGGAAAGCTCTCAGTCACTGGCATGGCAAGGCGAGGATGAGCTGGTCAAGGTAAGATAGGAAAAGGCAAGGCAGGGTGAGGGAGCCACACAAGAAACGGCCTGAGAACCACTCAAAGCTGCACACTCACACAGAGACAAGACAACACACCACATGAGCATCATCAGGATCCTGTCACCAGACCAAGAACTAAACCAATCAAAGTCCCACAGAACTGGGACTTTTCTTCTTCATTATAGGCATTTTAATGTGTTGCTATTACCAAATGACTTAAAAAAACAAAAAACAACTGTAAACGTGTTTCTCCTATAGTGTATGTTCATGTTTCCAGATTTCAATTCATGTTTATAGTCTAATATTGTAATGATTCATCAACACGGCTGGGATCCATTTGCAGTTTTATTTGAAACTTAATCAAACAAGCAGAGGTCAAGACACAGATAAGGCAGTATCGTAGGGTAGACAGAATTGTGATCATAGACAGACCTGAGATCGGGGCAGGCAGAAATCGTTCGGAAACTGGGGCAGTCATAGGTCAGGGCAGGCGGCAATCCAAAGTCGATAGTCCAGTATCCAGAGCACAAGTCCAAGAGGCAGGCAGCAAACAACACGAGAAGAAGGCAGGCAGAGGTAATAACAGAAGGCAGTCCAATGTAACCAGAATAACGCTCAGAGATGTTCACCAAGGCAAAACAAGACTTCGCAGTGAACCTGGGTGAAAGAGCTCATTAAATAGTCTAACGTAATGGGGAACAGGTGTAGGGGAATAATCAGTGACAGGTGCAGGGCTGATGGGAAATGTAGTGCGGGAAGGAAACTAGTACTCTGGTGATGGGGCCCTCTGGTGGCCCGAAGGGAGAGTAACAGGAGCGCTCTCCGTGACAAATATCTTATAATTTTTACATAGTTGTTTTTGTGTTTTAAACTTAATAGATATTACAAATTATCATATAAAATCATTGATTCTTGTGATACTTATGGTCAACTTCATAGATATTACAAATGAAAAGTTCATTTGCAAAAACAGATAACTCCATTTTTAAAAATTTTCAAAAATCATGTTTTTTTTTAAATCCGGCATTCCAATTAATATCAGTCAAACTGCAGTTGGGTTGTTTTGATTAAATAATAATAACTTAAAAAATACAGC